AAAAAAAAGAGATCAAAGGAGGTCATAACTAGTTAACGTACACAACTAAGTACAAACATTAGAGATCAGATTTCAGTATTGGAACACAAAAGTTACCAGAAATAATTAAATACAGAAAGGAAGAAAATAAAAGGCAGAAGAAAAGGATCGTAACTAATTTACGTATACAACACAACTAAATACAATTTGGATTACATTAATAACAAAGAAAATTACATGAAATCAGAAAATGAAATCAGTTCAGTCAAGTAGAGAAAAGATAGTGCTTATTGAGTGATGTCAAGGTTTTCGAGTGGAAAATTTGCAATGGTTTCGAAGATCATTTCATTTTGGGTAGTTGATAGAGATCTATCCACGTTATTCCAACTCCTAGATTATGACTTTCACTTACTATATCACTTGCAAAAATAGAGAATAAAGTTGGCAAGATGTTGTCGCCTTGCCTTACACCAGTGCAACAGTTGAACCAGTCAGTATACGTGTCATTGATTTTGACACAGGCAGTTGTTTGATAGTATATGTTTTTCAATACTCGATAAAATTTCCATCTACCCCATTTATCAATAACTTATACAACATAATATCTCTGTCGATGTAATCGAAACATTTTTTTAGATCAATAAACGCTGTGAATACCTGTGTTTTTCTTAACAATACTATTAAGTGCAATGTCCCTATCAAAGACCCCCTTTTTTTTTTTGTACAAAAGTTACACTTTGTCCATCTATCTATCCTATGTAAGCATATAGCAGCTTCCTAGCTCATGGCAGGAATAAACATGGCCGCCTGCTAGCATATGGACTGAAAATGCCCACATAAGTTTTGAGTAGATATCAAGCCCAACCTGATTTTCACATATATCTCACCTTGTATTCATGTCTTTTCAACTGTGAATAATTAGCTTGTCTGAGGCAGGGGCTAATATAAAAAATGAACATCTTTTATCCTCAAGTCATTGTGAGATTCTTCTTTCAATCAGCACTGCATATAAGAATAAAGCGATCAAAATATTGATCACAAACAATGATTGGCCACTTATTGCCTTTGACATATTAAAGAAAAGGCAAACAAATTTTTGAATAGTTGAAAAAATTAAAAAAAGCATAGAAGGGAGGTAGAAAGACATAAAATAAACCTGGGCGCAATCTTGATCCCCGATACTGCCTCATTTATGCCGTAGAGGAGTAGTCCCTCATAAAATAAATCTTCTAATACCTGGCTGTCCATTTTGTTGAGGAATTTAATGGCCACCAAGTTGCCCAATGACAGCTCAGAGTCTAAGAAGACGCTGCCAAAGGCTCTCTACCCTAGCTGTTGATGGATTTTGAAGTTCTCTTCGTTGAGCAGACCCGGGAATGGGGCTTCTTCATAGAACAGATCAACATCCTTCCTGTCTGGAATTTACGGATGTTGTTTGGATAATTGGATATTGCAATAATTGTAAAAGTAATTCTAATGTAAATTGTAAGAGTGAAAAGTTGCACATTTCTGCAAGAGACCACTCTGATCCGCAATAGAAAGGCAATTTAAAAAAAGGCAATTTCCCTGCAACAACTGGACTTATCTACCGACTTAAAGTTAAAGATGTTTTTGCGGCCACTAGAGGTTCATTACCTACAATGATTACAGGAAATTGTTAATGTCATGTTAAAATCTAACACCTGGAATATGTCATACAATAGAGTAATTCTCATAAATAATGTGCTAATAGATGTAACACAAACAAACTACAAATGTATGTGGTATAGTAAGCAAATGCTTATTATTTCTTGGTGATTCTTTAGATGAAGGAAATATATTAGTAAGAAATATTACATACAGGTAGATGGTGGTTCTTCTGTTTCTTGGCCCCCAACAACACCTCAGAGGGCCAATTCCCCTATAATCTCAATTATCTGAAATTTAATAAACAAAATAAGATACACCTCACTTGAAGTAATATACAGCAGTCGGTAATCAATTTTATTAATAACACCTTACCTTTTTCATTATTTTTATTTATTTATTTATTTTTTACAATTATATTTAAAATTTATCTTTTGTTCTAAAGGGGACAGTTCTTTGGGGCAGGGACCACCTGTCTTCCCTATACTGTTTCTCCGTTGTTTTTCTGAGTGTTTCGTCTTGGAACATAAATCTATCCATTTCCTACTTACCTTTTCTTGGATAGAAGTCAACATTATTTAAGAAACCCCACCACCATCAGTCTTTTCAATCTCCCCCCTTCTTTCCACCTCCCTTCTTTTTGGTGCAGCTGGAAAAATCTGACCACTTCTTATATCTTTTACATCTTTTCTCCCAAGACCTATACTGTTGACTCTGAAAATCAATAAGATATAACTAATTTTTTCTGTGATAAGTAAACAAAAATTTAATGTTTCCAATTCTCTTCAATATGCTATGCATAATGATGTAATTCCCTATGTTTATAAAAGAAATAATTAAGTGGAGGATAGAATTATAAGATTAAAATATATCAATATTCAAGTCCCCTATTCTAGTGCTTTTGATTTAAAAAATTGGGCGCAAACCTTCTGGTAATTTCCTGCCACACTTCATTTTTGCCTCATTGGTTTTTCAAACAAAAATTTCTTAGATTCCAATCACCTGTTCTCACAGAAAGATACAAAGAATTGTATAAAAAGCAATCTCTGTGAACAAAATTTAACCAGAAAGACCAGGTTTTATATTTTGGGATAATTCTCTGGTAAACTCTGAGAATTCCCTTTGAGTTTCTTAAATATCATCAAGAAAATTACAGGTAAAATCATACTTCTCACCACTCCTTTCTAACAGATTTTTTCCCATTACGTCTGCAAGTTTAAGAGTAATGTCTTCATTAGACAAATCAATATTTCCACACTTCCATTTATAGTATAATTCAGTTTCAATTATAAAAAAATCTTCCCAAATTTGTAGTAGAAACATACATATGTGTTTTCTCAAAATTCTTGGCTTTAGCCACGGATTTATCTGTAGCCCCAAGATGAAATAAATTAATTAGCTCTTTTAAACCTGCATTATAATAGATTTTAAGTAAAACATGCTGAAAGTTTTTTTAGTGTGTGAAATTCTCCAAGATAAGGAAGTAGCCAATGAAGTTCACCTTTGGATTCTTGTGCCTATTTCATGAGATGGGAATATACTGTGCCATTACTGGCTACCACTAGATAGTACAGATCTTTTCCAACTTTTAAAGAAATATACAAATGGTCCAAAACAATACTGACAGTTTCCAATTTATCTGTGTTTTCATCCAATAGCCCAAGATAAACAATTTTTGAAACCTCTGTCAGTTGATAATACTTGTTTGCGGGAGAATATCTGCATTCTTAATTGAATTGGCATAATTTCTATAAACAAACTGAAATAAATCATTCCAAAAGAGGTCAGCACTTTTATTTTCCAAATCTGATGTGTCAAAAAACTTTGCTTCTTTCAGATGACTGCATTTTCTTGAAGGTTTTTAGAACAATTTTATCCCCATAATGTTTTTAAGGCATATCTTTTAACCAATCGTTTGGATTCAAGTAACTATTATAATCTTGAACAATCCCTTACTTGCGATGACCTGTTTCAGAGATTTTTTTAAGATTAGGGGGAACTAAAGCTTGAAACGACATGAGGCCAATCTGATCATAAGGAAATATTTATTTGTACTGCCTGAAAGCTTCTTTATTGGTAAAAACCATGTTGTGTTTGGCTTGTAACTGAACTGAACCATCTTCCCCTTTGATTTTCATGGCTTTACTCTCAGCTGGAACTTCTCTGCTGATATCAGGGCTTAAGAGGAATTCCCTTACCCACTCTTTCACTTTGTCTAGAATTCAGCCCTTCCTCTTTTTCCATTTGGATGCTTGCAAGAGAAATACCTCCTGCCATGCTTCCATGTTTGGCTTTTTGCTGTTGTAGCGTTCACATTGTCCATTCATCTGGGGGTTGAAGGCTGTTGTACGACGAAGATCACTGCCAAGTTGCTGACATAATATCTCATTTACTTGGGTACGGAGTTCGCACCCTTGGTCGGGAATTAGCACCTTGAAACTAGCATAACAGCACACAACTTTCATTATAGATACAGCAGTAACTGAGGCTTTCTTGCTTGACATTGTTTCTGCTTCTGGCCACTTTGTCAGGAAGTCTAGATCTGTTAGAACAATTAATGTACCCGTTTCCTCTGGGCGTTTTATTCAGTGGCCTGAGTCCATTCCAAATCACATTTGAAAACTTAAAAAAACTTCTAACACCTCTGCAGTAAACCAATGATGAGGAAAAATTCCAGCTTGGGCTAAAAATTACTACTAATTGACAGAGAAAGAGTTTTAAAATATACATATCCCGCCCTGAACAACTGGGATCCATCATGTGTCCTGTGGTGTCTTAACCATTCTGGCAACCAGGCGCATTTGTGTAAACAACAAACTCTGGGTTCTCAAGCCTCTTTCATAAGGTTTTTCATTTCCTTTCTAGCAGTGACTAGACTTTATATTTGACTGAGTCTTACAGAAACGTAATTTATTAAAGTCTTATTGTAAAACTTTTACTAAGGTTTGATAATTTACTATTCTTTAATCGTCAATCCATTCGCTAATCTGATAAGATAGGAAAAGTCAAAATTGCTCTTAAACAATTGAACTCTATCTCAATTGTATCTATATCATTCAACTAGTCTTATTCCGTTTCTTTCACAATTCTACTTTCTAATTCTCTGCTTTGAAAAGACAGGAAAATGTCAAACATGGACAGAATAAAGAGCTAAACTTATGATCAAACAGTAAAGCTATCTCTCGAAACTAACTTCCAACTTCTGTCCATATTAACACAGAGACTGATGAATGCTTAAGCCGTGAGGGGAGAGAAATCCTTCCACCCAGTCTTGCCCTGCCATCCATAACTCTCTGTTGAATGAATGGGCGACCTGTGCATTTTCTGCTACATCAAATGCAAGGTACTGCATATCTAGGATTTTTAACCAGTACAGTCATCTCTCTGTTTCAATAGCCCCATTCACACGTACATGGTTAATCGAGATTAAGGGAATCGCGATTCTAACGCGCTTAGCTAAATTCACTTTTTTGCGTTCACACATGTAAAAACGAAATCGCGATTCACCTTGCTAGATCTGGTAATTCCAACCGCGCTCGCTAGGGGGAGAAACGGTATATCCTGTTGATCATGCGCATTAGCTGCCTTCCTGACCATGCTTTCGATGTGTACAGTGTTGTTGTCTTTATTTTTGTACAAAATACTTGATTTCGGGAGGCCAGAACATTCTGTTGTCGTTGCATCACAGTCAAGACATGGGCGTTTACGCCAGAGAGCTGCTGCCAGGAGGTTGAGAAGGCTGGTTAGATTCAACCAGATTCAAGCGGCACAAAAGTTGAAATTCCTAGTAACAATTTTACAGTGTGCCTCTGTCTACATGTCCCCGGACAGGGGGGTCTGGTCACACGAGAGAAACCAGGAATTTTTTTATTATACTGTCATGAGGTAAGGTTCAATAATGAAGTATTATTTTTAGCTGTTTTTAACACATTCGATCGTCGTTTGTAACGCGACCAGACTGCATTTCATAATTATAAATAAAATTTAGAAAATTCATACAAATGTACACCTGTAGTAGTATTAGTGGGAGATTGGGTAAAAGCGTGTTTATTGTCCTGTGTTACTACAGATAATCTATTTTAATTTACTCTGCTGCACCCACCGTTGATGAAGCCAACATGCATGACAGGTAGCTCATGATTTTGACACCCTTTTATTATCCATTCGTAGGACATACACAGAGAGCCAATGGGTGGAAAATTTTAGGATGAGCCAGGGAACATTCCGGCTCTTGTGTGATCGCCTAAGACCACAACTCCAACGCCAAAATACAATAATGAGACAAGCAATATCAGTGGAATTACAAGTGAGTATATGTATTAATCAACTCTACACATTGAGCTGTGTATACAGCCAGTCTTTACAATTTCGAGTGAAAAAGACCAGCTTCTTATAGTTGGTTATTAGAATAGATATATGTTGTCTAATATGTGAGTGTAAGTGTATTGTTTCTAGAGCCGGTTTAAAACTTATTTAACAACTGAAGAGACAAAGCACGTTTTAGCTCCTCAGCTTCTGCTAAAAAGTACAAAATTAAGAACTAAATCATTATTTATGCACATTTGTTACATGTGTGATATTTCATTCTATAAACAGAGGGAAATCAATGAAATGAGCTTAACTTATTTAACACATTCTTTCCAGGTTGCAGTAGCTATATGGGTGCTGGGTAGCAATTCTGAATACAGAGTAATATCTCAGCTGTTTGGGATTGGCAAATCAACATTGTGCAGAATTGTGCACGATTTCTGCACTGCCGTAGTCAGAATGATGAAAGAAGACTACATTGTGTTTCCAAAGGGTGAAGAGCTGCGTAGGGTTGTCGAATCCTATAAAGCAAAGTGGGGATTTCCATGTGCTGCTGGTGCCATTGATGGCACTCACATTCCTATCTTGGCTCCAAGCAAAAACCCAAATGATTACTATAATAGGAAAGGTTGGCATTCAGTTATATTGCAGGCAGTTGTTAATGACCGGTATGAAATTACGGATATTTATGCAGGATGGCCTGGCCGTGTCCATGATGCCAGAGTTTTCTCCAACTCAGGTATATTCAGAAGTGGTTTGGATGGAACAATATTTAACACCATGCCAACAGTAGAGGTGGAGGGCCATCCAACTCCAACTGTGCTATTGGGTGATCCTGCATATCCTCTACTACCTTGGTTAATGAAGCCATTCAGTGACAATGGGAGATTGTCCAAGGAGGAACTTTCTTTTAACTTTTTTCTCAGCCGTGCCCGTATGACAGTTGAAAATACATTTGGAAGGTTGAAGGGGCGATGGAGATGCCTCTTAAAAAGATTAGACATGAACCTTAAGAATGTTGTACATACTATCATGGCCTGTTGCATTTTGCACAATTTGTGTGAACGAGAGAGGGATCCCTTCCGTGGCCAGTGGTTGGAGGACGTCCAACAGGCCAACGAAAGATTTGCACAACCAAGAGTTGGGCAGGTTGTAAGACAGGATATCCCAAGGGGTGACATCACAAGGGCATTTCTCGTACGTCACTTCACCTCTCATCCTCCAAATAGATGAGAGCTTAAATGTTACTTATATTTTGCTGTTACCTCTGCCAAGGAGGTTATGTTTTCACCCCTGTTTGTCTGTTTGTTTGTCTGACATCAACATAACTCCAAAAGTTATGGACCAATTTTGATAAAATTTTTAGGGTAGGTCAGAAGTGGGCCAAGGAAGAGATGATTAGTTTTTGGTGGTGATCCATATCAATAATCAATCAATAATAATAAAAAATTGCTGCCTTGTTTGTTATGAATGTATATACTGTGGACCCTAATGCGGATGTAGCCTGTGTAACCCATATGCTTTTAGTGAAACTGTGTAATAATACAACATGTTTACATTATTTTATAACATTATTTTATATATATCTGTATCAGTGAGCATTGTATGTAGAATTGTCTGTTTTTCACAATTGATTTAGGTATAGCATTTTCTATTTTCCATAGAAAGACTTTTTTTAATTACTATCTTAATAGATTTCATGTGTTTTTGCATAGTCTTTGTAGAAAGATTTTCCTTTTACTATCTTCTTAGACTTCATATGTAAATTTTGCATTATTATAGATGTTTTTGTCCTTGCCCAGTCGGCGAATAGCTTTTAAGCTAATGTTTCCTTTCAATTTATACCCGAAATGAAATAAAATGTATTGTATTGTAATTGTATGTCTAAAAATTGGTAGTTTCAGTGCAAATTCCCATGGACTCAGATTTTGTAGGTTTTAATATAACATTTTATTTACACACATCTTATTATGGAAACTAAACAGCACCAAAATCATTTACAGGGCACAAATGGCTACATTCCAGAATCAAAAACCTTACAAGGTTGCATTAAACCATCAAAAAAGGCACTAACACTATGCATTTCAAAAGCAACATATTAAATGCAAAGAACAATGAATTCAAAATTAAACAACATTTAACAGCATATTCACTGCTAAATAAAACTCCACCTGCACAATTTGCAGGCTACAACTTAAAACTGCACAAGTCACAGCAACAAACAGCACATTCACTGCTAAATAAAACTCCACCTGCACAATTTGCAGGCTACAACTTAAAACTGCACAAGTCACAGCAACAAACAGCACATTCACTGCTAAATAAAACTCCACCTGCACAATTTGCAGGCTACAACTTAAAACTGTACAAGTCACAGCAACAAACAGCAAATTTACTATCCATATGATGATACACATTACAAATCTTGATAATATTTATCATTGGATGCATCATATGGATAAAGAAAATGATAATTAGGGTCTTCTCTGGCTCTTGCTCTGGCTGAGCTGGTTCCTGGGGCATTTGTTTGTGAGGAAGAGGTAGATGCTGATTGAAATCCACCAGCACTGGCCATGCCCCCCATCATCTGGGCCATTAACTGCATCATTTGCAGTTCATGCTTGCGCTGGGCCTCTCTTTCAGCCCTCATGGCATCGAGGTGTCTTGCTTCTGCTGTCCTCTCCATGGTCAAGCGCTCCTGTTCCAACTTGACTAGTGCTGACATTGCACTGTCAGATTTTGCTGAGAAGGACTCTACGGCATCATCAATCAAACTTTTAAATACATCTGCCTTGGATTTCTTTTTTCCAGATTTCCTGGCTGTAATGATATATGCAAAGACAGACATTGAGCAGCCCTCAAAAATAATTGAAACATACTTTTTATTTTACATGTAACTTACAAAAACAAAATAATGCTGATTTCAACTTATACATACTCAAGTACCACTTAACTTAATGCTATTGAACAGATCAAAATGAGTCAGTGCAATTTAGTACCTAATTTTGGAGCTTTTTTCACAACTATTTCTTGAGTATTATTTATATCATCATCATCATCATCTTCTTCTTCTTCAATTGTTCTCTTAAGAGCTGAAAAGCAAAATAAACATTAAAAAGAAATAGCATGTGGCAAAGTAAGGCAAATGAATATATCATGACATAAATTACACGAAGGAAGATCCTTAACACCACTTAATTCTAGTATGCTAAAAAATATAATTTCTGCTGTAACAGAAGTCTGTTATAGTACTAGTATATATTAATTAGACCTAAGTTATTATTCAAGATACATGTAAATTTTGGTATAGAAAATACCTTGTCCACAGGCCTGTGCCTCCTCATCACTCTCCTCTTCTGTATCTTGAGATGAGCACTCAGCAAAATCTTCATCTGCATGTGCAAATAAAACTTGTAATATATATTCAAACATTGAACAAGTCGCATAAAAATGAATAACTAAAGCACTGCCACATAGAATAATAAACATGTTACTTCTACAAAACACCCAAAATGCTATACATATTCTGGTACTTGTAGTAAGTAGCATTTGCCATAACAATTAAATTACATAAAACCTCTGCTATCATTTACCTTTATTACATCACCATGCATGAATGTACAGGTTCCTAGAAAAATTGGTCCATGCCATGCACATATACCTTCTTCAGCTCTACTGGTGTCCATTGTGAACACTGGTCTTGTGGTGGCTTTGTCACCCAGGATGTTGTCTAATTCTTTTTCATATTTGAAGGGTGGCTTCCTCCCTGCCCCTGACCTGTTGTGCTGATCCTTAAATTTACGGTACTCCCGTGTCATATTTCTTATTTTGTTCTTCACCTCCAAATCAGTTAACTCCTCACCACATTCGTCCTGCACGTTGTAAAATAAAATCAGTATAAAGCACTTTTTTCTTCTGTCATGCACAACTAGTGCCAATGATACTAGTACGTGCAGGTAAATTTTTGAACAACACGTTGAAATATTTCACATGCATGTCTTTATGGAAGACGTGTTATGAGTTAATTATAGTATTTTCTGCCTTTATTTTTGATCACAGACAGGGCGTTGCCTGATGCTGGCGAGGTAAATTTATTATCTATTTAAAGATGAACATCAATAAGTTGAACTTACTTTAATTTTCATAGCGATGTCCCTGTAGACTGGCTTTTTTTTAGAAGTGCCGTCTAACTTCCGTTTAATACTCTCATCCGCCCAAATATTTAATAATGCTGCCACAGATTCTTCTGACCAATAGGTCCTCCTGGCCATTTTGCTGACTGCGAAGAAACATGATAGCGCGTGGACAGTCTGTTTTCTTTCACTTTCAATAGAAACTGCGCACGCGCCTCAAGCCCTCAACTTCCGGTGTTAACATCGATCCCGTTCTCACTGCGCATTTTTGTATCGCGATTAAAGTTTACATCGATAGAATCCACCTCTCGAGTAGGATTAATTTGAATCGCGATTTGGCGTCTCTACTGCGTTCACACTAGAAGCTTTACATCGATAGAATCGCGATTTGGCACTAATCGCGATTGAAAGTGTCTCGTGTGAATGGGGCTAATGACTTGAAACTTAAGCTGTAATTCTACTGTTTACCCCCGATATTGTCCATATGGATCTGGGAACTTGTCTCTTATTGCCCACACAGAGCAAGATGGGATCACTTGTCTAATTGCCAGCTCCCAAACCATGTACCCATAGCGTGAATAGTCTGTAGGCTTGGTATCTGTTTGCCTTAGTATTGTGTTCCTTGTCATCCAAAGCCAGCACATCTCTTCTGTATAGTCTTGCAAGATTCAAGTCTGTTCCAAATTGGACAAAGGTCTGGCTGGGGGGGGGCAGGGGGGAAGGGGGGGGGTTACAGAGACTGGCTGTCCACTAGACACAGGGATATTGTCATTTAGAATTTTCTCTATGTCCAGTGCCAGTGATGGGTTTCTATTGGTGATTTTAACAGCAGGCTTAGTTAGGACATCTTTTTCAACATTAATGTCACACTTATCTTAAAATAAATGCCAAAATATTAGATAAGGTCCTAAGATAAGTTGTTTAGAGGTCCACCTGTATTTTTTTTATTTTAAAACCATGTAATGATTGTAAAACTACTCTTTTGATATAGTAATATATGTCACCTTTACTGATTGGGTCTTAACCTCACATGGAAACATTACCAGTTTCCCCCTACAAAAACTCTCATACTTCTCTTCTGCTCTTGACTGAAAACAATGTCATACAGGTCAACCTTGTTCTCTAAACACAGCTGTTGCAATGGCAAATAGGTCACAATCCTGACCACCAGCTTGTCTCTGTGGAGAATGCATTTCAACACTCAGTGCACCAAGTCCATTACAAATTGCTTTTGAAAACTTTAGCCATCAGCCCCATGACAGAAATGGATGCCCTTAAATTTAGTGTCACTTTTGGAGTTAGAGAGCCATACACAACAGTTTTGTTGCTAAATTTGTAGAGACAACCCAATGTGATCCAACAAAATGGACTTCAATACCATCTCTAACCACAGGTTTAGCTGCAAACCAAAGGCCAAGAGCAATGTATTTTAAAGCTATTACTGAGACCATGCCTCAGGTGGTACTCAACCACTTGTCTGTAAAATTGTCATCTTCAGTTAATGACTTTTTCTTTTTCAGCCTTGTAAGGTGTTCCATGTTGGCGTAATCTTGGTAACAAGCTCTGTGATATGCTTCAACTGGTCCATCTTAGCAGTGATTCTTGAAAATACTGACATAAACACTGAAGGGATGCCTTATCACATGACTGCATGGTTCACTTGAAATAATAAACTAGTGCAATATCATATTCCAATTTTAAACACCATTTTACAGTTTGTCCAATAAACTTATAAGTAACCTGTTATTCAGTGAATTTCAATAAAACAAAATGTTTTTTTAGGTGTATAGAATTTAAAAAATGAGTAATAAGAAGCATCATTAACACACTTTTCCCTGAAAAATAATATAAATTAGATTCAATAAAGATTTAGTAAATTTTAAGAAAAGAAGCCAAGAGCAGTTTTGGATAGTCATGTCTAGTACATTTTATTTGAACACTTATATCCACTTGTAACAAGATCATAACTTATTAAATCTACATGCATTTGAAAAATACAGATTTTAATTATCCATCAACCTACCAAAAAGTATCCCAGCACCACGGTTATGATTTTTACGTTGATGGTAAGGATTTCCAACAAGTAAAACTTTACCATCTTCACTGTTTTCAAATTATCTATCTTTTATGGTGTGCAGCATTGAGGTCAAGAACTGTTTTCTAGGATCTCCAAGGTCAACTGCCTCCTCCCCATAATATACTTTCTCCAATGGCAGGTGATAGTTGACAGTTGAATCTGTGAGTATTTCCATACCATCTTCAAAGATAGTAGAGCGAGAAACATGGGCTAATGTTGTGTCTCCTTCACAGAACTCATCTTCCTGCTCAGCATCAATAGACGACCCATTAAATATTTCTTGGTGATGGCCCTGAGAATTGTGACTGGGTCATCGCAAGATTCCCTGTTAAAATAATTAACAATTTTGGACTGTGTTATTTCATTACATGTACAGTACCGGTAGACAACATGATAAATAGACTTCACAAAAAATTTGAGGAGGGACTTCTATTTGCTACACTTACATTTCAGCTACTTTTTTCTCTTACACAGAGTGAAATGGTACCTTTGCCTACGGGTTCCTCTTCCTGTTGTGTCTCCAAGTTTGAAATGGGATCGGTAGGTCCCTCAATGGAAGGAGAACTTGTTGGTGGGAATGATCTAGACAAAATGTCATCACTTGCAGTTGCTCTAATTTCTGTTGGCTGTGTGCTGTGAAGAAATCAGTTTTTAGATACCTTATTAGTTTTGCAAGAATCTACATGTATTCAGCACAGGGCTTAAATGTCTGCACATCAGAAAAACTTGGGAAGGATCATTTTAGCTAATGCATACGGGAAAATCCAGTTGCATGGTTGAAATTAGCCAAAATGGCATTTTAAACTTTTATTTTCATGTTTTGGTCAACATGAAAAACTTTTTTTTGTATCATCTGTGTTGTAAGTCTAATTAGTGGCTGGGTGGTTTGATTTTTGTATGCATAACCCTAGATTTAAACAAAAAATGACAACAATCACTAATGAGCAAAATTGACAAACTTGCCAACAGCTATAACAGGTATTTGTGGGAAATAGAGGAAATGAAGACTTCTCTTGATTTAAAAAAATTATCCCATTATCTAAAAATCTGTGTGTTATCCTGGGTCAGTTCCATTTTACACTTTTCTGGGTTCTTCTTAATTTTTTTTTTTTTTTTTTTTTTTTGTGTGTGTGTGTCCATGAGGGTTCCATCTGGTTCAAGGACCTGTAATTGTGGTATTTCTTTATGTTCATATCCCTGTGTCATTCTTGGAGTTAGAGAGCCATACACAAGTTCTTTGTTGCTAAAACTTGCAGACACAACCCAACGTGATCCAACGTGATGAATGTGAATTCCAGCTGTAACTACAGGTTGCAGGCCTACCCAGGTAAAGCATACGTCTTGGTAAGGTGCAGTTACAACATTTAAAACATTTTCAATAAAATGAGTATCAACTGTTAGTTAAAACATACAGTATTACCTCCTTCAAAGCGGTTGTCAGACTAGAAACACTATTAACTGACCAGGGTTTCTTCTCAGTCCAAAACAAGCTAGGAGATTATCCCAAGCACTTCTGCGTGCCTACAAATCAAGAAAATAAAAATGCTAAATATTTTGTACCAAAATGCAAAGTAAAATACCTGGGTTGCATCCCTAAACCAGAGGCCAAGAGGACTGTATCTTACATTGCATGAAAATTTGGCTTTTGTATTTCCTGAAAGTTGATTAAAAGGCCCTCTTTTATCCATTTTTCTACACCTTTCTTGAACCTTTTGAATTTTTAGGAAATATGTAAAAGATAATCTTCTGAATGGCTATTATACAGAGAAAAAGATGTACAAATGGCCCCCTTTTCTTCTTCTTTTTTTATACACAAAAGGTTAACTTCTATATGCCCTCTGCGACAAAATTTATCTTTTGTTTGACAAAAAAGGCATTATAAAGATCAACATTCTTAAGACTTTTGCATGTCGAAAGGCATATGAATGGCCCACTTCCCTTACCTTTTTCGTCACAAAATCAACTTTTAGATACCTTTTTTTCTACGAACATGTGATATTTGGATATATAAAATGTATGAAAATGGCTAAATTTTGTACACCTTTTTAACACAGGAAAGATCAGCTTTTTATGTCTTTTAACAATAGAAAAGAGTACATTTCTACTACTTTTGTAGCTTATTAAATGTAATGTTAGTCGGGGGCATAAAATCATATTTTGATAAGACAAAAAAACAAATCAACTTATATCATTTATTGTATGTCAAATAAATAGGTTACACTCTCCGTAAAGATAAAAAATGTGTGCATTTCCTGGAACGTTAATTAATTAAATTACTTCTGGCAGTTACGTATGTGACACAAAAAAATGGCCAATAAAAAAAGAAACAGCTGGCTGTGAAACTGCAACTTCATTTCAGGTGTAAACTTCAGTCTGTAATGAAACTACATATAAAACCTTCACAATAATGAACCAAAATTCTATGCTATTTGAAATTACACAGCATTTGGTATGGTAAACTGAAAACAATTGAAATGTTTAATCTCTTTTTATAAACCATGACCCAGCAGGCACACAACGTTGAATCAACGTTGATTTACAACGTTGAATCAACGTTGAATTTATATTTGAAAATGGAAATTTGTGTCAACGTTGAAAAGTCAACGTTGAATCAACATTGAAAAGTCAACGTTGAATCAACGTTGAAAAGTCAATGTTGAATTATGATTGATAGTTCAACATTGTTTCAACATTAGAAATCTCAACGTTGATTATATGTTGATTTAGCATTGATTATATGTTGATTTAGCATTGATTAACTGTTGATTTAACATTAAATAAAAGTTAAGACAAATAGCATTTTCAATGTCTTTATTTTGTCACTGCATAAAAGGAAAAATGCTGGTAATTTAAGTAGTTAAAATATACATAGTTTACAACATAGCGATAATAAATAAAAAAGTAAGAACAACACTTTTTTTTTACAAAACAAAGCTGCTCATCGAATCTGAACTAACACAAAAATTGTAATTAATTATGCATGTACATGGGGGGGGGGAGATATTTTTGCACACCTTAACCTAAATAATACTATACATTGTCATTTTTAAAGTAAATTATAATTCAAACATATCATTAATAATCATAATCGCTATAGTTCTGTATTAAATAAATCTTGAATAATGAATGAAAAAACATTGTTTTTTAGATGACGGAGAGTTCATTATAACAAAATTATAAATAATTAACCATGCAGTAACTGTTTCAATTCAACTTGCATGCTGTCTACATACATGCAAACTCTGAAAAAAGAGTTATGTATGGTACCCCAGCATAAAACCCCATGTCTCATATCAAACCCCATGTCCCTTTCACTACTACAAATTCAAACAAGGACTATGGAAGTTAAAAG